TCAAAGTTCTAGATTCAAAAACGGAGCTACAGAGTAACCATACAAAAGAAGTTAATTTTAGGTCATTCACAATCACATACTATTTTTAATTGAAAGTAAGTTTAAAAGATTGATTACGAATACAGGATATGTGTAGTTATTATTTATCTTTTCTGGAATCCATTCAAGGTGAATGCCTCTAAAGGTTATAATTCAAAATTGGAAAATTAATTTAAACCTTCTTCAAAAATATTAATTCCATTTAGTAGCAATCCTACGAAAATTTTTAATCCAGACCTGTCGAACAAATGAAAGGTCACCTCTGATGGACAGAATCACATAAAATACAAAAATTAATTCAGAGAAACCGAATATGTGGTTAGGCAACTCTAAATACTCTTAAGTGTTCAAAAGCGCATAACGTACATAAATTCATAATAAATTATAAAAATTAATTTTTTATACTACTAAAGGCCTAAAACTGAATACAAAAGCAATATTTTGTTTAAGAAATTTATAATTTCTAATTATCTAGTTCAAGAACATTAGTTTTGTATGTTAAAATCGCTTCATTTAAAGCTGTTAATTTGTTAACTCTACATATTGCTAATTTTTTAACGATTAAAAGTAATTACAAATAACTCCTACACATCTCTTTATTCTAGTTATTTGTCCAGTCTTGTGGAGACTAGAACTCAAAATGAAAATCAGAATCAGAATAAGTTCTCGTACAATTGAGTCTTAAATGTTATTAACTAGTCTGTCATCCTTTTGTGTTCATGAAATAAACAAACCATAAAATTCACGTTCTCGTGTTTTCTATACATTTTTCAATTATTATTTATTGGTTTGTTATAATAAATTTTAATGCTCCATAATGTATTATTGCAATACTTAGGTTGCAGTTGCAATGCATAAAATTGTAAAAGAATTTATACCTCTGTACATATTTAAACCAATAGATCATTTTACCTTAAATCAATATCTAACTGACTTTAAATGTTGTTTCCTCTTACCTTTCTGATTGTGTTACTTCCTAATGCATTCAAGGAATTGCATTTCTGTCATGCAAATCCTTCCCTTTAGAGAAAGATACATGTTGCTTGCTCCAAGTGTGAAGGGAAGGCACTTTCACGTTTCTTTCAAATACTGCTACATCCTCAGATGAAAGGGGCCTGCTATGCAGACCTATGACCACTGCCAGTTGACATGCGGTGTCCAAGTCTTAGTAGTGTCCTTACAAAATGTTTTGTTACATGTAACAATGGTAAAAGATAAATAGATTAGTTTTTACAGTAGAGAATGTTACAAAGTGCTAAAAAACTAGGAATGCTGAAGGTCACACAAGTATTTATTACATGTAAACGTGTGCATAGACTTATAATATAAATATATAAAATGTACATGTATCTTTGATAGATGTCTAACTAACCTACTTACTTGCATTACAAAGGGGTGAGGAAAACAAATTAACAGCACTAAATTGAATAAATCCAGCAAGTAAAACAAAATAGCCTTCTATACATGCCCAGACACTAAGCCTAATCCAAAATTTTAAATACATGAAAACAATAAACCATAGACACAATAAACAAAATCCAAATCTCTAAATGAAACATAGAAATAACCATACATGAACCAAAGTTTTCCATAGATGGGTCCATAGATATATTATGTTGTGAAATTAGGTACAGACATAACATAGATTAAGGGAAAACTAATAGATATGCAGTGTACCATTGAGCAGAGTAATGGAACAGCCAAATTTTCCGAGCTTAAAAAAAGACCTTATTCGACTTATGCTCTCCTAATACAAATTTTCAAATTTAACATAATATTCAGTTTTGCGTCATATGTGAGGGGTAGTTAAAAAGTAATGGAACAACCAAATTTTCGAAGGCAAGTTTTGATTTTTTATTACTTCTTGACCAGCCCTCGTATATGGCTCAAAGCCGAAGATTTTAATAAATTTCAACATTTGTATTAGGAGAGCATAAGTTGGATTGGATCTTTTTCAGAGTTCCAATTTTTAGCGCGGGATTAACTTTAGCATTCTCTCAAATTTTTCAATTCCTGAGCATATGATGGCTCCAGTAATTTTCAAAAATTGACACAATCCCATTTCTTTTTATAGTATTTATGCTATTTCATTCTTTATTGTTGTTCAAACCAAAGGATATAAAATTGAAAACGCATACTGTACTTATTTATTTATTTAAATACCAAAATAATGATAATACAATGAAAATACATTTATTATTTACAAAAACTAATTTACATTTATTATAACAAAGTACAAATTTATTTCAAATAACAACAATACATCAATATAAACAAAATATCTGAGATATAATACATTCCAACGACTTATAAAAGTTAAAAATAAAATACCTGTAAGAGAGACAAGAAAATCAATAAAATTTCAAAGAAAATACAATTACTATGCATAAACTGTCATACCACTATTATTTAAATGCAAGATTAGGGAGAAAAAAGCCTCCCTAACCTTCTGTGGCCTCCGCATCTCCCCTTATAGCCACCCTATCCACCCAAACGAACATAAATTTTGAAAGCGTAAACAAATAATTCATTTAATTTAACAATTATACCAAAAAATTAATTTAGAAACATTTTAAATTTCTACCTAAGTTATGATTATAAAGATATAACAGTTTATGTAGTAAAAAACAAAATACCTGTAAGAGAAAGACAAGAAAACACATGAAATTTCAAAGAAAATACAATAAAAAGCAAACAATACGATGTCTTCAGTCTTCTTCGGTTACCTGAAAGCGAATAGTGCAATTACAAGGACTAACGGCAAATACTAATAGATTTGGTAGAGAAGATCGGACAGATTTCGCCAAGGCAAGCTGGGCAGTCGCCTATTGCTCCTATTCCAGATAACCCACTGTACCCTGTCTGAAAGGAAGTAACGCTAGAGTAGACTCGCGAAAAGTGTATAAGACACTTTTAAGATCAACTAAATAGCTAAGCCCAAGGGAAGTCGTTCGGGGAGGCCCTCCCTAATTCCACAAGGGTGAGAAGAAACACACACGATAACGAAACGTTGAATCATGTAGAACTCGTAGGGTAAATGCAAAGCAAATTAGGAAGAATATGCAGTAAGCTAAGCGAAGAGGTAAGCAAGGTTAGACTATACTACAACTACTAAACGTGTTATTTCTACTACTACACGACTATTACATACAAAAATAAAAATAAAAACATCTACAATCAACAATTACTTCAAATAAAATGAACAAAAATAAGCATGCAAAATAAAAACTAATTAAAATTAACTACAAACAACTGCAAAATAAAAATGAATTTGAATTTGGACTAAAAGAATTATTTCTATCAGATAGAGCATGCAAGATAAAAGAACTATTTTAACTACGGGGTCTTCTTTGTCTTCTTCAGCGTCGATCTGAAACAGATACGGTGGTAACAGATTAATAAAGAGCAATTAAAATTAAATGTATCAAGTATTCTCACCTTAATTAACTGTAGACTGTAACGTTCCAAACTTTGAAGGTGTAAAAAGCAAAACAAATCCGGCAGAGATACCATCGCAGAAAATTTGTTGTTTCCATGGAATTCAAATTAATCTCCAGTTGCTCTCACACATCAGTTGAAAATTAACTTCATAATGTTGCAAGGCAAAGATGTAAACAGCTAATCATGAATACAATCCAGGAAAGATGCTGCCCAAGTAGACATTGGTTGTTTCAGTTGGACCAAACTGAACTTTATTTCTTTTGCATTTGTTGAACAATCTGCAGAAATGAACAAAAAAACGTATTAATTACACTATTAATTACGGAAGGCATTAAACACCTAAAAGAAAGTACCAATTAATTACACACTCTCACATAAACAAGATATGAAATATAACAAACCATGCATCAAGTGTCAATCTACATCATAGCATAGATAAATGTTGCGAGCTAATCATAGACGCATACAACTCCAATTTATGACGTGGACAATAGATAATTGTTAAAAGAAATACCAAATATCATAGATGCACGGCTACGTTGCTGTGGATAATAGATAACTGTCAGAAAGAAAACCATAGATGCCAGAGATAACAAATTACTACGAAAATAAAAGTACAGTAAAACCATTGCTTACCTCGACGAATACCGAAGGTGCTCGAGTTTTATTCGTAATCGTTGACAGCAGAGAACTGCCTCTAACAACAGATACTTTTGAAAGAAATACCAATACCATCGATGGTGAAATGAGCCACAGAGCAGAAGAAATAAACGTCATTTGCGCAAACTTATGTACACCAGTGTGAATTGGACTGCATGTTTTTCCTAAAAACCATTAACGGGGCTTCACATCTCCAGGTTTCGAATCCTTCTTACTTGTTTGTCTTCTTGATTTACCTCCTCATGTTCATCTTTATGTTTTAATGGAAACCTGTTGAAACAATTTAATATTACTTATATGTTCATTAGGTTTTGTTATTTTATTATTAATGATAATTACCACTGTTAACATTTTATGTCCAATGAATTTTTCAATCAGCTCCTTAGAGGCATTTTTGGAAATAAAATAGTTTGTCCATCCAATCCTAGGTTGTTATCACAGCAAGCCTATATTATATAAAAAAAAAAGTTAAAATCCAAACTGTAGAATAATGAGGCAAAAATGAAAATTTTTCTAACAGATATTTAGAACTTTTGAAGGTAGAGTAATATTTTTGAGAAATATTTTACATATTTTGGCTATAAAAGACGAAGGTAATTTTTCGAGGCGTGGTCACATCGATATGAAAAATCTACAATCATCGCCTAAACCTGTTTTGAAAATTCAAAAATTATAACAAAACCCTTATTATTCCACCTCAAATAAAGTAAAAACTTATAAAAATTCACAGTAGATGAACAGACAGAGAAGATGCCAAGATGGACTACCACGTTGAAGCATGAATACATCACGTCAAAAAAGATCAAAGCAACGGTAATCGAAACCAATCAATCACGAAATAGGAACATATTCCACACAATCAAATGAAAATTGAATAACGATTAGGGCTAAATACCTTCAGGCGTCGTCTCCCTTTATAGACAGCATAGACCAACGGACAGCAAAAACGAGATACACTCATGCACTGAACACTGCTATCAGGCTTGCAAGGATTTGCGAATGCTAATGCCTGAAGCGGTAATGACGCAGAAACGGTACGCAGAAGCATCATATTACATTTCTGCGACGGTTCCCGGCAAATATTTCGTAATTTAACCAATTGAAAACATGTACGTTATTGCTTCATCGCCTGATCACAACTCCAGAAATATAACTAAATACAAGAGCGAGAGAGACGGTGAAAACTGAGAGAAAAGAACATTAGAGATAAACAAGATTATGGCTTTTTTTTTCTAGCTTCAATTATGTTACAGAATATAAATTATTTAAGGGCGAGACATAATTCGCTCTTTTGAAATTACAATAAGCAAATAAAAATGAACAACTAAATATCCAATTTAAAATAAGATCACTTATAATAGGCATATCTTTCACATACAATTAATAGTCGTTTAGCTGATTTTATAGCTGATTGTGATGAAACATAAATTTTTACAAACATGTTCCTTATACAACATAAAAGTGCAATAAGAAATTTTCAAAATTAGATCCCTAAAAGGATGAAAGCTTGAAAGATTGCTTTTTCTACGGATTTGCAAAACAAAATTTTGTAACTCGATTTCTAAGATTAATTAATTTTGAAAATGTGTATTAGGAACTTTTCGCGAAAAGACAATTATTTAAAAAAAAAACATCCCCCACCCGTTACCAATTTAACGTTTTCGGAGGTGTCAAAGGGAAGTCTAGTGAGCAGGGAAAAAATATTTTAGCGAAAATTATATAATTGTAAACTTTATTTAAAAATATATGGACAACACATCACACACTACAATCCACTGAGGAAAACTTGTAATTACTTCCCTTTAACACTTCCCACAACCCCAAGTTGATTGGGGTTGAGGGATGGTGTTTTAGATAAATACCAGTAATTAGAACGCAAAATCGGTTTCGAACAGCAGTGCTTTTAAGCAATCCCCAAATGCAATTTTTAAAGACTACTCCCCACCCTCCAAAGATTTGGGGTTGTGGAGAGTATTATAGGGAAGTAATTAAAACATTACTCGGTAAATTGTGGTTTGTTGTTTAATAAAGTTTATTAATTATATTAATGCAAATAGGTGATAAATAGTGTTACCAGTAAAAAATAATATTAGTTTACACATTAGGTACGAACGCACTAATTCTACGTCAAGCCTAATATGTAATGTTCCGCTTCTTCGTCTTAATAATTTTTTATGGAAGAAATTACTTAATGACTGTAAAAAATAAATTATTTGGTAATGGCAATAAATTTCTTTTTTCTATTTTTCTCCTTGCATTTTTTAAATGAAAGCGCTCAGTTCAATTCCTATTTCTATATTTTTACTTTATTTATCTTGTAATATGCTAGCATTTAAAATATCATTTTACATTGTGAATACGTTAACTTGCCAAGCAAAATAGTTTAAGAGATAGATAACAACACAAAGACAAACATATGACGTATGTAAGTAAAAAAGCAGTTCAAACCACAGTTGCCCCTTTACCCCGCTCTTCTAAGAAAACAGACTTACTACTCCTTCGATTAAAAGACCGTCAACGTAAAGACAACAAGTTTGTATGAGGAATAATGAACGATAAAAACTCACACAACAGGTAAGGACTCTGCAAAATATTCCTACCATTAAACTCAAAAAGAATTTCATTAATAATTTTCATTGGGTTAACTTTACGTTTCCAAACTTATTTAAAAATATTATGCAAATAAGACTTTATCTTTGTTGAGTATTTAACTGAAAATAAATATTAAAAAAATAACAACTGAATTTTCAAAACTGAGCGAATTAAAAACCTCCAAAAGTTACTATTACAAATTTCAAAGTTCTAGATTCAAAAAAGGAGCTAGAGAGTAACCATACAAAAGAAGTTAATTTTAGGTCATTCACAATCACATACTATTTTTAATTGAAAGTAAGTTTAAAAGATTGATTACGAATACAGGATATTTGTAGTTATTATTTATCTTTTCTGGAATCCATTCAAGGTGAATGCCTCTAAAGGTTATAATTCAAAATTGGAAAATTAATTTAAACCTTCTTCAAAAATATTAATTCCATTTAGTAGCAATCCTACGAAAATTTTTAATCCAGACCTGTCGAACAAATGAAAGATCACCTCTGATGGACAGAATCACATAAAATACAAAAATTAATTCAGAGAAACCGAATATGTGGTTAGGCAACTCTAAATACTCTTAAGTGTTCGAAAGCGAATAACGTACATAAATTCATAATAAAACTAACTGAATACAAAACCAATATTTTGTTTAAGAAATTTATAATTTCTAATTATCTAGTTCAAGAACATTAGTTTTGTATGTTAAAATCGCTTTATTTAAAGCTGTTAATTTGTTAACTCTACATATTGCTAATTTTTTAACGATTAAAAGTAATTACAAATAACTCCTACACATCTCTTTATTCTAGTTATTTGTCCAGTCTTGTGGAGACTAGAACTCAAAATGAAAATCAGAATCAGAATAAGTTCTCGTACAACTGAGTCTTAAATGTTATTAACTAGTCTGCCATCCTTTTGTGTTCATGAAATAAACAAACCATAAAATTCACGTTCTCGTGTTTTCTATACATTTTTCAATTATTATTTATTGGTTTGTTATAATAAATTTTAATGCTCTATAATGTATTATTGCAATACCTCGGTTGCAGTTGCAATGCATAAAATTGTAAAACAATTTATACCTCTGTACATATTTAAACCAATAGATCATTTTGCCTTAAATCAATATCTAACTGACTTTTTTCTCTTACCTTTCTGATTGTGTTACTTCCTAATGCATTCAAGGAATTGCATTTCTATCATGCAAATCCTTCCTTTAGCGAAAGATACATGTTACTTGTTTCAAGTATGAAGAGAAGGCACTTTCACGTTTCTTTCAAATACTGCTACATCCTCAGGTGAAAGGGGACTGCTATGCAGGCCTATGACCACTGCCAGTTGACATGCGGTGTCCAAGTCTTAGTAGTGTCCTTACAAAATGCTTTGTTACATGTAACAATGGTAAAATATAAACAGATTAGTTTTTACAGTAGAGAATGTTACAAAATGCTAAAAAACTAGGAATGCTGAAGGTCACACAGGTATTTATTACAAGTAAACGTGTGCATAGACTTATAAATATATAAAATGTACATGTATCTTCGACAGACGTCTAACTAACCTACTTACTTGCATTACAAAGGGGGTGAGGAAAACAAATTAACAGCACTAAATTAAATAAATCCAACAAGAAAAACAAAATAGCCTTCTATACATGCCTAAACACTAAGCCTAAACCAAAATTTTGAACACATGAAAACAATACACCATAGACACAATAAACAAAATCCAAATCTCCAAATGAAACATAGAAATAACCAAACATGAACCAAATTATTCCATAGATGGGTTCAGAGATATAGTATGTTGTGAACATAGTTATAGACGTGACACAGATAAAAAGGGAACTACAGAATATAAATATGAAAAAATAAAAATATCTACGTTTAAATCAAAACTAATTCAAGTACTTCAAAAACAAAAATTATTACCTATCTATATTATGACACATGTTTAAGGAAATTAGCTTTCGCCTTTTCTCTAATTTTATGGTTTCTAACTAGTCAAAATAATAATTATTAATAAATAAATCAAAATATTTTATTTACATTTGCATCCTTTATTAAAATCAGTAAATTAACCATACATTCTTTTAAATGGCATATTCTTTATTAATGTACCTGCTATTTTCAATAAAAATCATTCGTCGAAAGAAACAATTGACAATTGATCCATGAGGCTTCCCTCAATCAATTACTGCAAGGCTTAGGCTTAAGGAAAACTTTGATCTTATTGGCAATGGAAGTAAAACAGTATGGATGTTTATTTGTCGTTTGAAAGTACATTTTATACAGTATAGATTAATAAAAAAAAATCCTTTATAAAAAACAACAATTTTTTTTATAATACCTATTTATCCTGTAAGGATAAAGGTTCTTCCTATCTCAAGAATTTGTTTTTTTATTTTGTATATAAAATAATCAACAGCATAAAGGTGTGAGTCATATGAAAACCGATATAGAAATAAATTCAATTTCACTTTAAACATTATAACAGCCAAAATTTTATTTAATTAGTATTAATATGTAAACCATTTTAGCATGAGATTGTTAAGAAAATAATAAATTTCATTCAAACAAAACTGTGAAGGAGTATACACCACAATGAAATAGAAAGAACTTTTATAAGAAAATGTTTGCCATAAAATTAGTTTTAATAGTTAAGGATCTTAAGAGTATTCTAGGGAGATGTTTTCCGTTCTTGTTTTCAAAAAAAGAATAGAGATTTGTAACTTTATCATACTTTATGGCAAACATTACTTTTAAATACTTTACGAATTATATACATACAAACATTTTTTGTTTGGTACGTAATACTTTACATATTAATGAACTCGTTTACGTAACGTCAACAACAATAACTATGGTCTGTTTTTCAGAACAATTTTTGTAGCACGTTTAAATTTTAAACCTGAGTCTGCATTTATGTTTTAAGTTCGACTATTATTATTATGCTTTACAATAATTTAATTTTAACAGTTTGTCGGTATCACTTCACTTTATAGAAGTTCTCCCTGTACTTAAGAAGTATTGAACACTAAGGAAGTGGAGGATATTCCGGTTGTTCCTATAAAAGTTTCAAACTGAAATCCCTATTTAAATAAGGAGCCAATGTAATAACTAAACATTTAAATATTCAGAAACGTATATGAAATATGAATCTAGAAAGTCTTATTCTATTCCTTAAAACAATTAAATTCACAAGAAATTAATTTCATTGAAAAACATTAGTTTATAGCATTTTAAGGGATTAAAAATTGGTAAAAAAGCCTACCATTTCTTAGTTAGTGAAGGCGAGTTTATGTACTAGAACCACCACCAAAAAGATTAAATGTTATATGCCTTCTGGAGATATTGGAACGGCAGAATTCGTCTGCTCAGAGTAATCATACCCATCTTCAGTATCATCATAATCTTCTTCAGGATCTTCTTCAACCTGGTAATCTTCTTCCAATTCTGAGTTAGTTGGGGGTAAAGGAGTTTGTACTGGTACTACTGGGACCTAATTCAAATTCAGGGTGTTATTGGGGAAAAGAAAACAACTTTTAAAAAGCATCTCATAAGTTAGTAATAAGAGGAGGAAAGATTTCGTTAATACGTTTCTTGTTAAAAGTCATTTGCAAATTAACATTTTAATAAAACAATAATTAACTGTAAGTATTTACCACAGTAGATCTATAGCTTCCACATCCATTTAATGGGAGACCATCTTGTCCAATTGGACATGGAGCATCTAATCCAGGAACACCTTGGTCACCTTTATCTCCTTTATCACCTTTCCTTCCTCGTCTTCCTGTTGGACCCTAGCAATTGTGAGAATTACAAAAACAGTAGATCCAAGTTAGTGACAAAACAATAATGTTCAACTTAACAGCAATACTGACTGATCATTTTTATTCTTTTTTGTTTTGTTAACGAAATACGTATTACGATCAAATCTACTTATTTATTTCTTACCGGTTCCCCTTTTAGTCCTTTATCTCCCTTTGGACCCTAAAAAAGGTTGGATAAGATGATGTTAAACTATTGATTGTTTGTGAAGATGACAATTATATTGGATTAAAATTATACTTCACGTTATCAAGAAATTGTGAAGTTAATGTGCCAGTTATACCTCTTGGCCTGGGATTCCATCGGTTCCCTAAAATAAAACAGGGAGTTAAGGGGAGAAAGCACATGTGGTTGAATCATTTGAAAAATTTTATTCGTTGCGTTTTTTTCAACAATTTCTGAACAAACATAATAATATTAACTAACTGTAGAAACTTACAGGTAATCCAGGATCCCCACGTTCTCCTTTGGTACCTGGTTCACCTTGGGCTCCCTAAAAGATTAGAAATAAATTGGTCTCAAAAAATTGTTGGAAATAGTATTTTCCACCTTGATAATTATCAGTATTGCCTTTAGTGAACAGAATATATTTTGTCACTTTATTTAATGAATGTATAACATTGTAAAATGAATAAATAAAATAGTAAACTCACCCCAATTACCATTAACACAATTTCATTGAACGGACACGTATTTCGCCCACTTCAAACGTGGGCATTATCAACACGAGATCGCTCACTAAAATTGTGTTAGTGGTAATTGGGGTGAGTCTCCTATTTTATTTATTTATTAATTTACCACAGTCTGCTTGTTTCTATATTGTAAAACGAGTTTTATATTCACTAAGGAATGGTAAAATTGGCCCTATTCTAAACAGAATGTTAGTAGGTATTCACTAATGGCTGCCGATGCGAAGTTTTAGTGCGGCAAATATAATGTAAGTAGATAGCCATTTTCATTAATGTGTAACCGTTGGGTCAAGTAGATTACTATACCCACTAATGAATTTTGTCTTAATTTAAACCCTTAGTGGGATGTAATAGTTCATAAGTAGAAAAGGACTTTTAAAGATTTAATTACGACTATTATATATGTATAAGTACCAACATTTAACAAANCTGATGCCAAAATAGTTTGTTTAGCGTAAAAGATCAGAGCCAAAATAGGGTTGCAAATAATTTTATTGATGTAAAATCAACATCAATCGTTTTATATCAAAATATTTACAACCCCATTCTATTCCTGATTTTTTACACATTGTGCTAAGAAAAAGAAATGGAATCCATAGTTTCTTTAGCTTTGGGTTCATCTAATAAGTGAAGTTTTTCGAATCGTTTTCTAAGAATTTTGGATTATACGCATTTATCAGCACATCACATTTGTAGTTTCCAGTTTTACACAGCGTACTTTATTTTTATAAATATCAAATTCTTATTTATAAATAACGGTAATCTATCTATGAAAATAATTTTCCAATTAGTTATCCAAACAGCGTGTAGAAATGGTAACAAAGGTGCCAGAAGTGCCGTTTTATCAAACAGTAAATAAAAAATTAAAAAAATAAATGAAAGAAAGTACTGATCTATAGTATAGTTTAGAAGATGGTGACTTACTTTCATTCCGTCAAGTCCAGGTGGGCCCTGTGAAGAAAAACAATGAAAGAAGGATAAAACATCTGAAGACAATTAAATGGCTGCTTCTAATGCGGATGAAGTGCTGACTGGCAATGCGTCAATTTAACTAGCAAATGATCTGGCTCATGCATCTGCAGAAAATTTATCACGGAAAAGAAATTTTGGTAAGAACAGGACGGGAATTTTCGGGGGTTATTTTCAGGTGTTTCTCGACTTTGGTTTCTTTTTTTTTCTGTTTCAGAACAAAGCAAGCTTCATAACACACCTATTACATGCACGACACATTTATTTCTTTACATGTCTTTTTCTTATTCAATAAACAGACTAATATTTTACAAGTTTTCATTTTTTTTTTTCTTGTTACTTTATGGCCTTACAAACCCTAGTTTAAGCTATCTAACCATCAGTCATATTCGGTTCAATTCTTATATGCTACAGAACGCTTAAAGGTAATAAGTCTATTTTACAAACACTGCATTTTTCAACTAGAAGTTATTACAGTTGATCTATTTTTACATCGAACTAGTGAAGGAGCCTAAAAGCAGTTTCAAAAATAACAAAAAAAAAACTGTTCCAACTAAATTAAACAATAAAAAATATAATCATTATAAAATTGTATAAAACTATCTATAGGTATAAGTGGTACAAATACAACCGATTTTTTTAAATTCTCCTAAATATACCAATACACCTTTTCAAGGCTTAGAACTGAATTTACGATTTTTCGAAAATAATTTTTGATATAAATATGTGACGTGGGATCAATTTAGAAAATATTAATTTCTTGGCTTTTATTCTTATGTATTTTTGAAAAGGGAACTTAGGGGTTGAATTGGACACTTAAAACAAAAAAATAGAAGTTAAGTTTTGAGCAGAAACCCTTACTGTGGCAACAAAGCCATGTTAATAAAAAAAATAAATAAAGAAAAATGCTATGTAATGTTTAAAAAAAAGTGTGGATGATAAAACTTTTGTGAAACATTCTACCTTTATTCACGCTTATTCTAATAACTTTCACAAGAAGATTATCAATGACAAAGTAAAAAAAAAGGAACCATTCAAGTTTTTGATACTCTTTAGCAACTTTTATTTCATTTGATAAACCAATAAATTTTTGTAGCGATGAAAAACAGTGTGAAACTCTATCGTCAGTGTTTTCAAACATCAGCGCTAAACATTTTTCATTTTTCACCTTACTGTTTTTACAACTGCAATTTTTAATGTACTCCAAAGTGTTCATCGAAACGGTAAAAGAAAAAATGATTATCCATCGATGTTATCGATTTTTGCTATTAATCAAATTGCTTCATTGCCCCTTCTCGAGTAGTATTAATAATATTATTATAGTAGTGTACAATGTATTTAAATTTCTGCTTTTAATGCTAAATTGTTTATTGCATATNTATATATATATACCTGTATTATTAAGTACTAAATTAGGTAAAAACGAATTCTAATGGACGATTAGTGGGCAAGTTTTTGCTCAAAAAACTACAACGTACGCACGCATTACAGTAGTACCAGTATATAAGGCGGTATGTACTCGTTTTATGTATGTACAATATCTTTCGATAAATAATTAGTTAATAATAGATACAAATACAAAAATAAATAACAAATCTATTAACGGTTTAAGTAATAATATTCGTCGTCGTTTTGTAGTTCTTTTCTTTACGTCAGGTTGAACTCTATACAACATGGCTCGTTCTTCGTACACATTTATACTATTGTTATTATTATATTATATATATATAAATTAACACTGACACGATAATACAAATTTATCGTACTTTATGCATGTATGTATAATATGTAAACGGCGTAAAAAATACTAAGAACACAGACAGGTCGAAATATCGTTAATTGGTTAAGTCACTTAAGTCATAAATAACACCGTTAAACTTCTAGTTATAGAACGGTTTCCTTACCGTGGGCCCTACTTTCCCGTGGTCACCTGGTCGCCCAGTTTCCCCTCTTATTCCCATGGGACCCTGTAAAATTTAATAAACATGCTTCTCTCACAAAGGACTCAACAAATCGAATCAATTAATGGTCTGATTAGACTAGCATATTAACTTGAAAACATGAAATAAAATAGAGTACATGAACATGTAGTTATGTTTCGTTTAATACTCAACAATAACATCTTGGTGATTTACTTATTCTGAACTGTTTTAGAGAGTTCTGTACTAGCAATTTCTAATATCATTTATAACTAAAAATGAACGAAATCGTAGAAAAATATTTATACTCACAGGTAACCCCATCGGCCCAGGATCTCCTTTGGCACCCTTTTCACCCTAAAGTAAATCGATCAAAATCAAGACTCAATACTAGAATGGATTTACTTACAGGTTCGCCTTTCATTCCATCAACTCCCTTTTCTCCTTTAATACCTGGAGGTCCTTGTAGTCCAGGTAGTCCTGGAATTCCAGGAGGTCCTGGCGGTCCCATAACCATCTACAATACACAAAATAAAGCGAATTCCTCTAGTAGAATATTGTCTTAACTTACCACTTCTCCGCCAGCCGTGATCTCACCAGTACCGTCGCCCTGGAACAGTATGGAAAAGGAATCAAAAGTAAAGAAGTTTAAGTTGTTTTTAGTTTTTGTTCTTGGTTTATTTATTTTGCAGAAAAGTGGCCAAACCTTGCAGTTTAAGCAAGCGAAGATTTGATTCTTACCTGTCGCCTTCTTAGCTTCTTGTATTTCTGTGGCCCAAGCAGCAATCCGGAAAAAAGAAAGCAATTAGATCAACGTGATCAATAAGAATCGTACCTAAGTGTACTAACTTCTACATTCGTTCGTGCTAGCTCTAAATGAATTTCGAAAATATAGACGATTTTCAAATTTTTTGACAATCTTTTAAAATATTGAGGTAATGAAAAACATGCGTCCCTATGGCCAATAGGCAAACAGCAATCGATTGTAATTTTTCAACTAAAGGTAGTATTGGAACATGCTCAAGCCATTCGGAATAATTTCAGCAATTCGTTTATAAAATAAACTTACCGATTCTCCCTTTTCCCCCTTCTCACCCTTCATTCCAGGATAACCTGGAGGCCCTGGAAGTCCTGGGGGTCCCATCAGACCTGGAGGACCGATGTCTCCGTATTCTCCTTTCTCCCCTTTAGGTCCATACAATCCCTAAACGAAAAAATCACGATTTTGTGAAACGAATACTCGATCTCTTTAGAAAACAAATCTTACTGGTAATCCAGGTGGTCCCTGCAAACCTGGTTCTCCTGCTATTCCTTGTAATCCAACGGGACCAAATTCTCCTTTATCACCTTTTGGACCTACATGGAGCAATAATTTTTAGAATTTTGGCAATAAGTTATTAATGCGACAGACCAAAATGTTAAAGGTTAAAAATTTGGTATCGAAACAACTTCTAGGTTCTTTCGCCGAAAATGAATTTACCTTGGAGACCATCAATTCCTCGATCTCCCTTTTCACCTTTGGTCCCCGGAACTCCTGAATCACCTTTAGGACCAGGGAAGCCTGGAGGACCGCGAGACAATTCCTCAGCATTCAGACCCTAAACCAAACCACTCTCATGATATGTCTGTCGGATGATGATTTGGATAAGCCATACCCAGGCCCCAATAATTTATATTATTTTCATAAATGTTTACATTTTTGTTGATTCAGATAGGTAAATCAAGATTGTCAATGAACTTGAAAAGTGATAAAATTAAAATGATTTGATTGATTAATTAAATACCAATTTTTTCCTGACTTTTTAACCATTATTTAATGTAAATAATTTTACCTATATATATTCATAAAAATAATAATTACAGTATTATCTACAATGGCAAAATGAAGAGATATCTACGAAAAAAAAAAAAGAACAAAATACTTACTTAACATTGTAAATTAAGTTGCACACGACATGTTTTGTTAATCGAAAATAAACAGATATTAGTGCTGTGAAGTGAAATAAACTACAGTGATGTTGTTAACTGCAAAGTAAGACCAAAATCTGAAGTATAAAAAAAGATTGATTACGAACAGAAACCAAAGATTTATTAAACCAATACCTACAAATAAGGAAATTAATAAGTGGTTCAATTATTAAACATTAAAAGATAAAATAAGATATAATTAACTTTTTGCGTTCTTTAAAATCTGTTTCAATTGACTGAATAGTTTGGCTTACGTACATTGACTAAACAGAAAGGGAAAGAACTCAAAAAGTTTTGGTAAGTACATTTTGTGTAGTAAAAATAATAGTAAAAAAAAGTGCAATAATTCATGCCCAAAAGAAGCATACAAGAGCAATAAAAAAGCATGCAAATGTTCAGGACAATTTATGGGATACGATTGTGGGAGGTACATAATTGTGTACAAATCGACCATGAGCGTAAATACAAAAATACTTTATACTTTGACCATTGTACACATATTATTCTGAAAACGGTTTGATTACTCGTTTGTTTGATAAAATTATGGAAATATGTTTGGTTTAAACGACTAATTACACACTACGTTGATCTACTAAATGGAATCAATATGTACGTAGATGTAAATATGATAAAATGGCGGAAGGAATTCATATTTATTTGTAGGAACACCGTGTATTAGTATTAGTATAGCAAAGATTTATTTACTAAAGAACTATGGCTGTGTCAATAAAGCAAAAATAATTATTTACATAATATACAATTCAAGAATTTTAATTTTCATTTGAAATTATTGTATTAAAAACCTCCAGTTCTTTAGTTTCTTGTTTTGTGGGGTAAGTGTTAAATTTTTTAGTTAAAAGTCAAAAGCTCTTAGACAGATCGAAGCCCTTCTAGAAGACATCACCCAACTATGTATTTTAGCATAAAGCGATGCTATGAGTTGTGGTTTGGTTAGAATGGCACTGTTACGAAATTAAAGAAGTTTAAAGTAGGAAATTTCGTGACAGTGCTTATCACGATTTTTTGTAAAACATTACCCGTTTGCCTCTCCGTCCTCTGGCACCCTTTTCACCAGGTGGTCCAACAGGTCCCATGGGCCCAGCTTCTCCTTTTTCACCTTTTAATATCATATAACGAATATTTTAAACATCATATCTGGTTTACGTACTCAATTCAAAAAAATATTTTGATAAATACTTATATTGCCATCTGGTGGTTATATGCTGCTACTGAAGTTGAAATATTTCAAGTGTTTAGTGTTAGACAAAGTATTTCAACTTTTCTTACTGATTCGGCGACCCAACATGTCTAACACTTGAGTAGCAGCAAATATCCACTAGATGGCAATACACTGTTTTTATTTGGATTTTACATGCACTCGCTCTTTGGGAGTTTCTTCGGTTTGGTAAGTAAATTTCCGAGACTGCCTATGGCGCACCCCTAGGATTTAATAAGATCGAAATCGCGATCCTCATCTGGAAGTTTCGATAAATTTCTGGCCGAAAACTTAAAATATTATTCAAAAATTGAATCTTTTTTTTCCTTGTTACTTTTTGTTGTCAAATTATTCTAAATGTATTGTAGATTTCTCACCTGGTGGACCTGGAGGTCCAGGTGGTCCCTCAATGATACCAGTTGGAAATTGGTCACCCTTTAGAGTAGTCGTCAATCCTCGTTCGCCTTTTTCGCCCTTATCGCCCTTAAAACAACGACAAAATCCTTCGTAAGGATCTATACTATTTTATAGCTAGTGTGGTTAGTAAAAAGGGGACTAATTTTGCTGAAGATTTTTTTAGTTTTAATTTATTATACATACTGATAGAATCTATATATTTTAAGTAAATAATACAACTCTTAATATGGAAGATGTGAGTTCAATGAATGGTTAAAGCACAATGACGTCAATGAGACCTCCACCATCAATGAATTCTACAAATATTCTCCGCCACCTTGAATTTTTGGGTTTTCTCTTAACTTACTTTTGGACCTTGCATGCCTGTGTCACCTTTGGTTCCATTTTTACCGGGAATGCCCTATCAATTTTTTATCAATGATGTAAAATAATTTCATCTGATTAAAATTTTACTCCACTTATTTGAGTTCCTTCTTTTATTTACTGACAATGGAGCATAAACAGTTAGAAATTTTTAAAGAGCTTCATTTATTTTTGGCTCAAAGTGTATTTATCGCTTTGCGACATTTTCAATTAAATAGTTTAAATTAACATTTGTCAATAAAGATAAATTGGATTAGCCCTGTCACAAATAACACGTTTATTGAAGCTTCAGAAAGGTTTATTATGGTAAATATCAAGCGAAACCCAAGCTTTTATGAACGCTCCATTGATTTTGTAGTTCAAAACTAATTACCGGGAAAACGTAACAATTAGTTACTTTTTCCCTTTTGTAATACGGAATCGATAAATTCAATTCGGCTTTATTCATTATTTACAAACTGAAATAATTTATACGATAAATTCTGAGAAAAAAAATTTAATGTAACTTAGTAAGTAAAACTCATCCGCTTGGAGTAATTTAGGAAATCAAAGTGGAGTTGTAATAATAAAATGCCAAAGTATTAAAATCTCACAGGTAGACCCATATGTCCTGGTAGTCCTGGATATCCTGGGGGTCCAAATGCTCCTTTTATCCCTCTTTCTCCTCTCTCACCCTTAATTTCATACGAATGAGTAAATGGGATGATTATGACATGATAATGAATGGAAAACATGAATAACAAAGAACTGTTAACTTAATGAGCTTTTATTGTAATTATACTCTTGATTTGAAGATGATTTTAAATGACATTCAGACTGTGAATACAATAAAATCAAAGCTTGATGTTTATTTAAAAGAAAGAAACGTGTTCATTGTTGTCACCTACCTTTGGTCCAATCATTCCATCAATTCCGGGTGGACCCATAGGCCCCATGGGTCCTGCATCTCCTCTTTCTCCCGCTGGACCTGGCTCGCCTGGTATTCCCTGACTACCTTCTTTTCCTGGAGGACCATCGAGGCCAGGCGGACCCGGGGGACCCGGTGGTCCAGGTTCTCCAGGTTCTCCCTAACACACGTACTTTTTATGAAATACAATAGTTACAACGTTTGTTGTGTTTCAAAATCGAAAAATTCAGATTTACTTGGGATACAAAAGAAATCTCCTAAGAATTAAATAAGAAACTGATNTTAAGGAAATTGTTTGTCTTCAACTTAATTCCCATCGTGAATTTTACTTGTTAGTAGAGTAAACAAAAATGCAGTTCCCCATTATCTACGTTATCGATTCGAAGTTTATGTTGGGTATACTAAATTGGATAAGCGTAATGAACATAGTGCCGCATCTTTAAAAGCAGTTATTGCTACAATAAAATCCAACAGTTATTTATGTATTATTTGGGCCTCTTAAGTAGTCTTTAGATGAGCTTTTTTTTTGTCTCATCTAGTAATAATCTACATATCTTTGTAAAAAACGACCGTCGCATATCTTAAGGGTCATTCGCCAATAGAGTTTCAAAATCGTCCCATTTATACTAGGTTTTAAGGAGGTTGTTACATGTGGTAATCGGTTATTTAAATCGGCTCAAAATACATTGTTTACTTGTTTCTTTGGTGCACTATTCATATTAACTGTTTTTTATCGACTATCTTCTATTAGATTATTTCTTTTTGATTATTTCCGGAAACTTCCCATTTGATTTATGTCCCGCAGTTGTCGATATTCGGGTACATCAATAGTACCACCAATATCGATCGTCTGCGGCTTACATTCATCATAACTAGAGATGTTCAAAATGGTTTTTTAAAAGTATATAAATGCAAAATGCAAATACTTTTTTTGATTTGTTATTTCAAATGTAAAATACAAAATAATTTCCCTTCTGTATTTGAAACGCTAAATGCAAAATACGTATATTGTTATAATTTCTTCAGTTCAGCAACAAATAATTCTTTTGTATGCTTTCTTATTTGCCTTTGTTTTAAAAGGAAAACAGTTTGTTGAGCGTGAAAGATCAGAGCCAAAATAGGGTTGCAAATAATTCTATTAATGTAAAATCAACATCAATAATTTTATATCAAAATATTTACAACCCCATTATGTTTCTGATTTTTTACACATTGCAATAAGAGAAAGAAATGGAATCCATAGTTTCTTTAGCTTTGGGTTTATCTAATAAAAAGTTATTCCAATCATTTTCTAAGAATTTTGGATTATACGCATTTATCAGCACATCACATTTGTAGTTTCCAGTTTTACACAGCTGACGTATATCAATTCGTTATTTTTTTGGGGGCTGTTTTGTCGTAATTGCGTAGTTCCTTGCTAAAGGTACGATAAGTGGTGATTTGACAGATGCTGATATCAATTTGGAACTTCAAAATGTCATGAACCATGACATTGAACCCGGTAAACAATATCGATCCAACATTTTAGATTATCCATTTCCAAGGAATTTCGAATTTTTTGGGCTCTCTTCGGTCAAGGAATTAGAAGGCATTCCAGGAATGTCTCTTTGTTTCCTTTTTAAGCTTCTAATACCTTTAATGTCCAGTGAGCAACTTTCATTTATCATTTTATATAATGATCGGTGATACTAGCAAAACTTTTAACGGCAAAAACGTATTTTGCATTTTGCAAATAGAAAATACGTTTGGAAAAGTATTTTAAATAAAATACAAAATGTTTTTCTCAAAAGAGTATTCAAATGCAAGTATTTCAAATGAATCACATCTCTGATAATAAGTATATACAAATACTTGGTGTTTGCGTGAATATTTTTTATAATAAACTCACTTTGAGTTTGATGACGGTATCAGCCGTTATATTGATGCCCTTATCCTGCAGTCCCTAGAAATCGACTAGTGTGAGAAGGACAGTCAAAAACACCACATGCAAAAATAATGTTAATTCAAGTGAGGCAGGAAAAACAAAAAAGGTCGAGTAGCTTTAGCTGAAAACAAAGTAATAATGATCCATGTACATCTCAGGATAAGTAATTCGTAAATCAACACGACGTCCAACTTTTCTTTTCATATGGTCAAAAAGATTGAACTCGACACAATTGTAGATATGGAAGTTGTATGTTTGAGGGCTACACTAAGTATAATTTGTTAAGAAACCACAGTTCAGATCAGAGTGTAGATTTACGAAATAGTATCATGAGAAAGATAACCTAAAACTGGACTAATAAAAGTATACAAAGACATATTAATAGAAGGGGTTTTTAAAATAAAAAAAAAGAACATAATATGCTACAGTTCAGCCACAACAAATACGAAACGTTTACATAGGTAGGCACGCATATATGTATGTTTTAGTCAACGTAGGTGTCAACGTTTCGCATACCTTCACGGCTACGATTTCAGCATATCCAAGGGTACCTCCTCGGAGTGTTGTAACGGATCTTTTAAGACCCTGTAATAAACAGTGAGCATAACCTACAATTATGGGTATCGTGAGATTGAGCACCATTATTTTTCCGTATGAAAAATTTCGAAATGCCCTCCTTTCAAAATTAAATGCCACAAGGAATCAATTTTGGCATGGTGGCATAACCGAAATTGGAGGTAATTTATGGGTATGGATGGATAGTATATCGGACGACATTGGCAAGTCATAAATTGTCTACAGTACAGACTAGAAACAGTCCGCGAATAAATTAGTGACGAATATTTGATAAACAAACATTTTTACTATACTGCAACAAGAATTTTAGTATAAAAATATTAGTTTTTGTCTTTTCCTTTATTTACTTTTCACTACACAAAGGAATTTATATCTACTTCATACAATAATATCTATCAATAGTTTAGTTGCAATTGTATATCGGACAAAGCGATTGACCCTTAAACAATAGATATAAAGAACACCATCACGAATAAAATAGTAGATGCAGATCTTATTATAAAAAATATAAAAATATTGCATTAGATCCAGCCTTAACATAAACAAACAAAACGTCCAACTGAGATATTCTTTATTAAAAAACTGTAAATTAAAACTTCAGATAAAAAAATGCTTGTAACTGTAACTGTAACTACAACTGTAACAATACGCTATTAAATCAAATGACTAAGTAAATTGGTGGTGCATTTTTTTTGTTATGATTTGATAGCCAAAAATGATATGTTCTCATTGTGATTACTTCAGTTTTAAATACGTATATTACTCGATGTGTGATTAAATATACTATCTGTATGATATTCCTGTGTCTTCTAATAAAAGGTAGTAACGTAGGTACTTTCCTGTTTAAAAAATAGTATGTGAAAGGAAAAACATTAAGGGTATAAGAAAAATTAATAATTTCAGAAGGTAGGTATTTCAAAATTTTAATTACTATAAACATTTTTATCATTTAAGGATTACTGATGCCTGAGTGGTGTATTTTCGAAATTTTTGCACAATGGGAAAATAATTGTACCTACTTTTCCTTGTGGGAAAATTTTGCTTCCTAATGCTTAATTAAATACGTACCCTTCCTGTCTGCTACAAAAGAAAAAACAACAAAATGCAGTTATATTATAAAGTGAAAGGTTATTTTCCTACGGTTACAATTGTTCTTATAGTCATTGTCATTATTTAATCTTTTTCTAACAAAATTTTTTATATAGGACATATTTTCTATAGAAAATTATACGAAAGTGTTAATTTTTGCACAGAAACTGTAACGAATCCTCTATTCTAGAATGTTTTTAATTGAAATGGAATGGATTTGTAGCTATAACATTGATTAGTTGTTTCCTATTTCGTCGAAATGAATAATACTTTCATCCGGGAGTCAAAAATTAATTAGAAATAATTAATCAGGAAAATTTGAGATTGTATCATACCTTTACCGTCGCAAATACGTCAAATCCACCATCTCCAGAATCACCTTTTTGTCCTTTAGGTCCCTGAAGTCCCTAAAATGCAATGACAGCTTAATGTTCGACGAAGAATGTTACATAAACTAATTAAAATTTGAGTATTTGACTCTCCTTTCTCCTCGCTCATGTAACACCGCTCTCTTGTATTAATTTTACATTTAAATTCAAGCTAATCCGTATTAGTAGCAAAACGCTGTTCCACACGAATCTTCTTCAGACATAATTTAGAGTAACTAATGCAACCTTAAATATTCTAATTGCAAGTTTATGCAAACATTACTAATTTTCTTTTAACGCAACTTCTCTATACTTATAATCAGGATTACAATTCGATTTTCCGTGAAACATTAGTGATTAAGTAACTATTAGGCTTAGAAACGTTAAAAGAACGTTTTAAGGAGACCGCTCATGTGTATTATTAAATAATATTAAAGATGGTTAAATACGTTTTAGTAACCAATAAAGCTCAGCGTGAGACTATGCTAACTACGATGTGTCAACTTTTACCTACCATATCTCCCTTAGGGCCTTCAAGACCAATGGGACCCTGCCAATAGAAAAAATATTGGTTAGTTGCCGGCACAAATGATACATTCAAAAATGATTTTGTTAGTATCATGGGATCAGCTATGGGGAGTAAAATATGAAAATTACAGGAGGTAATGTTTCGTAGTTATTATCTTTGCAGACGTCGACGAGGTGTTAATGAGATGCAAGGGTGCTACGTTATTAGTTTATAGAAAATGCGATTATTTTTGGTAGTAATTGTATAGGGCCAGAATATTCTTATATGGAATATTTTTAAGTTTTAGTAACTTTTAACATTTTAAATAAATATATCAAAAAATGTACTTTCCCATGTAGGAAACCACGACAGGACCGAGCTTGGTCCAAGATTGTTCAATTTTGGTCGCATATTGGCAACCAAGACTGGTATAGACATGGCAAATGCCTGGTTTGTCACTTCGGCCAGCTTGGTCCACGACTGGACAGTCAATACTGAACCAAGACTTGGTGAACATGATTGGGCAACCGGTATTGGACTAAGACTTGATGAACAATATTAGTCCAAAATTGGGTAGTCAATATTGTGCTCAGACTTGGTGAACAACATTACCTCAATACTGGACAGTAAATTTTATACCAAGAATTGACGATTGGGCAACTATATCGTTCTCCATCTTCGTCAATACTTTGTTGCCCAGTTTTGGATATAGTTTGGAGAAATGTTTATACACCTAGCCTTGGTATTTGAAGACTGACCGAACTTTGGACCAGTATTGACAAGCCAATACATGGCTTCTCCAATATTGGACCAAACTTGGCGAAACGTTAATGTACCTCTAGCCTTGGCATTTGAAAATTGACTGAACTTTGAGCCAATATTGACATGCCTATGCTTGGCTTCCCACTATTGGTCCAGGTTTGGGTCTGTCGTCAAGTCTGGCATTTCCTACTTGGGTTTATCTAAGATGAAAAATTATTATATGGTATAAAAAAACTTCTTTAACATAAAAAAATTTAGCTACCAATGAAACAATAGCACATGGTGTCAGATACTTAAAAATATTCCAGTGGAATTTCTCACCGTAAAATTAACAATCTTAATTTGATATTAAAAAGTGTAAATTTTGTTATTTCTAAAAGGTATAATACGTTTGATGATGTACCTAAAAGGTTAAGGGAGGTATAAAAATTAGGAAGCAATAGCATAAAGCAAAACAAGAAAAATTGAATTTGTTTCAAAAAAGAAAAATTAGTAAGTTATCCAGAACAGAAAACTAAAAAAATAAAATAAATTAAACAAACCGGCATTCCTGGAAATCCGCGAATACCCGCAGGTCCCTGTAAAAGAAAGTAAAACGGGAATCTAATATCGAATGCAAACTAAGAAAAATAAAAACGAATTTCAAACCCAAAAGACAATAGCGGCAAAGGAAAAATGGATAAATGTTTAAAATTTGTAATGCGCCATTGTTCTGGAGTTTCTTTTTTTAAACAAACGTGTGTGAGTTTATCCAGTTAATAGTTATTTCATTAAAAGATATGATTAATAGAGTGGAAAATGCAAGCAAAATTACAGTAGAGGAACTCGCAAACCACCGAAGAAGGAGAAACATATTTCTCAAAATAAAACATTTTATTTGGATGTGAATGATTTACAGCCTAACCTAACCTAACCTAAATTTATTTAGTCTACCTATGAAAGAGTTTTATCCTCTTCTTAAACATATTCTGTTGTGGAAAAATTGAAACAATGAAACAAAATATATTTTTTAACCTTAATAGGTTTTTCCAAATGGATTCGCTAGTGTATCTTTTGTTTTTCTTAATAATTTAGGGCTTCTGGGAGTAATAATTACTTTCTGGATAATGTTGAGTGCAAACACATTTAAAGGTATGTTCTAGAAGAGAAAAGAGAGTCTTCTACTTAATTTCAATCAACATGTCATTGCTTTCGCAATCTCATTTAAGCAATTCTACCTACCATTTCTCCCTTAAGTCCATCAAGACCTATTGGACCCTGCCAAGAGAAAAATAATGAGTTAGTTAGACCACGAAAAAACAAAACAAAAATTTGGTAGCGTGCAAATAATAAAAATGAAACAGATTTCGAAAAATAATTTCAGTAAAAGATACAGGAATAAACCTTTTCCACAACAGAACATTTAAACAAATATTTTCGTAATAGGTAAGTTCGTTATTCCTCTATTACAGATCACTTTCATTAGGAATCAATTGCTGACAATGATTAGAGATGGCGCCTCTACCACATGTCTTTAAATATTAAGTAACAAAACCAAGGGGACTTCCCCAAATACCATAACATTGAAAAAGCATGGAGACATGCTTTTCTCACCCATATTGGGAGCATTTTCAATGCAAGATAAGCTTCACTAGTGCTTTTTCATTGTAATTCACAACCAATTCCAAAATTATCCAACTCTGATAACCTCAAAAGAGGATGAAAGCACAAACAAACCGACAAGTGAAAGCAAACTGTTATACACCAAGTAAACAACATCTCACCTGCCTTCTATTGATTATGAACAATTTATTACTTTTATCTACTAATTACCTAAAGGTCAAATTTCAATATTAAGTCAAGTCGCTATCCTTACGGGATGAATCAAAAATTCGGTGCATAGTAGGTTTCCCCTCAATTTCCAATAAACGATACCGTAGGTACATAAATATCTGCATTTTTTAAACGCAGCGTATGTGTCTGTATGTATGCATGTACGTATGTAAATCTGTAGCATTCGAATGCGGCACGACGCAGTGAAAATTACTGCATCCGCGACTACGTGAGAAGAAAATTAACAAGGACGAGTTGGAAATGAAAGAGCGTAAGAAAATGAGCGAACTTGCGGTAATTTGATTACAAAAGATGAGTTTTACCTAGGTTACTACAGTCCTATATGTATATTACTTATGGACAGGTACTTCATTGTTGCCGTGCATGTTTTGAATCGTAAATGGGACAGGTGAACATTCTCGGTTCCATTTAACATTTTAAAAATGCAAACTAACGATCTATACTTCAGGAAAATTGACTTTTGGTTGGTACATTAAATGTATTAACCGTAATAGTACGCAGCTCCTTCCTTTGTTCAGGAAGCTTCCGAATTAAAACATGCATGTACAGTTGACCCTAGACAATATACTTGAGGTTCTTGATGAAACTTCCTCACTAGGGATACGCGGGAAGCTCCTTGATTGAATCCGAAATTATTAGAGAAAATGTTTCCAGTCATGTCTGGTGATTCAAACTCTACATCAAAACCCATTCGCAGTAGGGTACCGCAAGGATTCTTCGTTCCTTTATACTATTTATTCTTTATACCAACGATTTGGGAAATGACTTGGTCTCAATGTGGAACTTTTTGACCGACTTGCAGATCCGGTGAAGTGTCATAACCAACTTCAAGCAGATCTTCACTCGATAGCAAACAGCTTATCTCGTTCCACACTGAAAGAAAATGCCCCCGGCTCAATTACTACCTGGAGAACACTGTTGTGGAACCAATGCCTGCCCACAAAGATCTCAGTGTTATTTGAAGTTATATGTCCATGTTGAGGAAAGCACAGTGAGTGTCCAATAGGCAAAAACCATCCCCAAAACCTATGTTTAACCCATGGTGGAATTCTCATACGTGGTGTGGTCTCTTACTATAAAAAGGATGTCGTTCATCTTGAGACGTCCCAAAGGAAAATCAGCAAGCTTCCCCGAATTAGTTTACATGATCTGGAATATCCACAAAGATGCGCTATACTGGGAATCATAATCTTCGAACAACGAAGGACACGCTATGATCTTATCGATGTATATCAAATCACTAACAACCTGTACGATGTTCCTGAAGTTCAAGAAATGCCATCCACTGTGAAAAACTATAGGCTGAGAGGTCATAGGATGCTGTTCAATCAGTCTTGGAACTGAAAACCTTCTGATGATGATGATGAAAAGATCGTATTGATACTTAATGATACCATTTGAAATATTGCACTGGCAGGGAGACTGTCAAAATACATACCTCCTTACTTAATTGATAGATCATTAAAGAATCTAGAGATTTCACGGTTACAGCAGATTCAGTTTAATCATGCACGTCTCCGTCTACTGTTAGTTTTTCCAACACTAATATAATTAGTGAGAAATTTTTAGCGAATTCGAAAGAACCGTGCAATTCTAATAATTAGTTTTAAAGCGTGTCTTAATTAGTAGTCTTTGAAGATAGCTTCGAAAATATTGGAGCGTTCCTTTTTAAGGGAAGTCTGATGAAGGATCTAGTTTTAATAAAATCCGCTTGTGAATTTTACCTCGGGTACTAATATTAAAATCTTACTTATCAATGATCTACACTTGTAAATTGAATTTTACTTAACCTAAGCACTCAATATTACTAAATTCTTCATCTCATCGTTCCTATATGAGGTAATTAAAAAGCCGATTATTACTATCTACCTTATGTCTATGTTGAGAAGAAATTTGAGGAACAATTGCCTAAGTGTTGTTCTATTTATATATGATTCCTTTTTATAATGGGAAACTGAATTGTTCGAGAAAGGACCATTATATCGCGACTGGTTTATTTAGCCACATGGAATATTGAGGCGATTCTATCAAAGAAAAATAACGCGAACTTAGACTTTGAAAGACTAGTGATAAACGGGACGGAAATACTTTAAAGTTCCGTATTACCTTTTCTTTTTTATCTTCAAGAAAGGCTTTGATCTATCTTCCCATAACCGTGGGGCATACGCTGGAACGCGGTTCAATGTTTAACATCGATTAAGTGCTTTTGCAAAAGGGCGACGTCATCGCCGACGAGGGGTTCATTTCAAATTTGTCACTGCTTCAAGATAAAATGACTCTATTTACTTTCGGGACACGTACACCGGTCGACCTGAGTTTCTTTGATGTGGCTAAAAATTTCCCCGGAGCAAATTTGACGTAATCCGCCAAATCGTCCCTGTTACAGCTAAATATTTGCCATTATTATAAGCAAACGACTCGTTCTCTATCGGGTCTTTAAAAAGAGTTTCCATTAATTCTGGATAATTACACGTCTAGACAGAAAATTATGGAAATAAATTATCATGAAGATGTTACAAAGGTAACTAGACATTGAAGCAATTAAGTTTCTGTTTAACTATTCTTACTTTACTTTCAAAAAGTAAAATGAGCGGCTGTTAGTTAATGAATCTAGTTATATCTAGGCTATTAAAGTTGCATAGTTCACCCTGATTCTTTTAAAAGTTTTATATGTACCTACAAACAAAGGATGGAAACTGATATGACAGATGTGGAGTTATTATCTCCTTTCAGGAGGTTGGCGGTTCCTCTATCAATTTTTAGATCAATAACGTTTTCAACTAGAATTATAAGAATAAGGTAATGGTTTTGTCACTTACTGCTGGACCTGTTTCTCCAGGATCGCCTTTTTTTCCTTTTCTTCCTCGTTTTCCAGGAGGACCCGCAGGACCTGGCGCTCCCGGTGGTCCTAAAGAAAAGAGAACAGTGAGAAATGTTGTAATTGTTAAATACACTTAAAAGGAAGTAGTTTAGTCTGCACGTGACCATATACACATAACAAAATGAACTTTATTCTTCCATTTTTTAAACTAAAAAATTACAGCAATGGGACATTGAGATAAAAAGGGTTTCTGAACAAGAGGCAAGCTCATTAAGTTTCGCCCTCATGAATTAAAGTGTACAAAAGAGTGTAATCTTTTTACGCGTGCCACATAACGTTTATTAATGAACCTTTTCCGTCTTCATTTACTTTCTGTGAAAACGGAGAATATCCATTCAAAAACTGTGCGTTTTAGTGTTTCAAGATGGAGTAATTGTGGAACTACTTTGGGATGGATGATATCCACTTCATACAGTTGTAGTGATGACCCTACTTGTGATCGAAAGTAGTTCAACAATATCCGCAGAACTTCTGCCTTTACGTAATTTGTTTGAAGAATTATTGCTAGTATCTTAAAAGTATTAAATGCCTTATATCTTAGGCCAACCTTGTTTCTGATCCAGAATGATGTTGATATTTTCCTGCATCAGTTTTCATGACATCATGGCTTCATGAGAACCAATAACAAACGCTGACAATTTATTTATTTATTACAGAAAAGGAAAGGTTAGAAGCGTTCGAAATGTGGTGTTACAGACGAATGATGAGGATAGTGTTGATAGAGAAGGTTAGAAATGAAGAGGTATTAGAAAGAGTAGGAGAACAGAGGACTCTATGGAAGTCAATAAAAAATAGGGGAGATAGGTTGATAGGACACCTTCTCGGGCATGAAGGTTTGGTCAGAGACATATTAGAGGAAGAAACGAGAGTTAGGAGGGGTAAAGGTAGACCTAGATTAGATTACTGTCCGCAAATAGTTAAGGATATGGGTTGTTCTAGTTTTAGGGAAATGCGAAGATTAGCTCAGGATAGGAATGAGTGGAGGTGCGTGACCAATCAGTCTCGGGACTGACGACCTTATGATGATGATGATTATTTATTAACTACGCAAGTTTTGGTGAAATAAAAAATATTAAAGATTGTCTTTACGTTAACTTCGAATCTCATTATAAAAGAAAGTCTCAGAAGTTTTTTTATTCATTCAAAAACAGCGATCATAAAAAATGTGAGCTGCCGGTCGGAGGGCGTCACTTTTTACAATTTGTTTCGACCTTTCGGCGGCACGTCATGAATTTTCACGGCTACAAGTCGTTATTAGGGTAGAAATAAACGACAACGTGGGCAGTAAAAAAGCAATGAAGGATTAACGGCGGTAGCACTCGTGTTCATAATTCACAGGAGTCATAACAATAATAAAAGCAAGTGTGGCGGAGTGGGCGGAACGAACATATAAACCTTGTCAGGTTTCTCTGACAGAAAATGCCCATACGATTACAAAGCACATCCTTACACGTAATGAACTGCGATCGAGGCAAAAAGTAAAACAAAAATGTTGGCGGTACTTTTATTGCAAAAGAACCGAACGTTTCACAAACACAATTTTTACGCCCTTTGTGGAAGAAGAACGATTGTTATACTTTCGGAAAAAGTCAAAATATTGAACGTGTGCTTCAGAAAAATAGTCTTTAGAGTATAGAAAGTAGAATAAATGAAAAATTCCAAAATCAAATAACTGATTGGTTTTAAATCTTATCTCACACCGAATGATACTAAATCTATCAATACAATTCCTTCTTTGATGTGTAAAAAAAATTCAATGATTTAGGGTAGAGGTCATCTAACTTACAAAAACCCTCGTCTAATGACTTCAAAAAGTTGACATTTGTACTGGACTGAATCTACCGACATAATGTCAGTGGTCAAGAAGCTCAATGTAATTGGGACAACTTAAAGTCATCATACTGACAAAATACTTTACAAAATGGAAACAATATAGTCAAAAGTTCACCATTTGGCATGTATGTTGCTATGCATATGGCCAAATCATGAAACTTTTGAACGCTGGTCTCCCATTCTTATCATCATCATCATAAGGTCGCCTGTTCTAAGACTGGTTGGACACGCACCTCCACTCTTTCCTATCCTGCGCTAATCTTCCAATTTCCCTAAAGCTAGAACAACCCATATCCTTAACTATTTGTAACAGTAATCTAATCTAGGTCTACCTCTGTTCCTCCTAACTCCTGCTTCTGCCTCTAATGTGTCTCTGACTAGACCTTCATGCCTTAGAAGGTGTCCCACTAACCTATCTCGCCTATTTCTTATCGACTTCCATAGTCTTCTGTTCTCTTACTCCTTCTAATACCTCTTCATTTCTAACCTTAAATTTTCTAATTTACCTACTTGGCTCATTGTCCTAACATTCCACGCTCCGACTTGTGAAATATTGCACCTACCCCTAATGCACTTATTGATGACATCCCACGCCGTAGTCCCCGCCCGGACAACCGAAATGGGGACTAGTTTACGTCCGGGGTGTTTTACCCTAGAGGACGCCATCATTTGAGTTCGGTTTGTATTTTTTGGGATATCATAATGTGGTGGTTTCCCGTTGTCTTCCACATCGCAGTATTGTGCATCGGGGTGCCATACCGATCCTCGTGATCTCTGCCACTCTGAGTACTGAAAGAGCTGCTGCCCTCTTTCAGGGACTTGTCTTAGTCTGATTTCTCTTTAAGAACTCCCCTCCCCCCATTATGGTTCAACCTATCGTCCGGTTCCCTAAATCATCGAAACTCGCAAGCCGATCCACCCACTCTAGTTAGTACAAGAATTTCGTCAAGGTTCAGGTCCCGTCGGATCAGAAAAATGTGGAACGCTTCACGATTAACATTCATTAACAATTACACATCAAAAAAAGTATTCTTAAGATTGATTTAGTATCAGCTGTGTTATGAGCAGAAAGATTTTCCTCTCTCAGTGAGTTAAGTTATTGCTCTTACCGCTGGTCTTCTTGGATGTGAGTTCTTTTAAAAAGCAATGAATTATTTGAGTTGGAAACCGTTCATTCTTTCAATTTAACGCCAAAAACAATTTTGGAACTCCCTTTTATAGGATCTTTCAAACGATATCTCCTGTGACATTCCGTTTAAATTAGCTAAATTTTCCTGTAACATTCCTTAAGTTGCTACAGTAACTTAAAACGGTTGATAAAGAGATGAACACGCGTGTGGTCCACATGAGGGTATGTAACTTTAGTTACCTATCTCATTAACTTATGATTAGTGGAGAATAGTGAAAATTCATTTGTAATCAGATAAGAAATAAAAGTAAGTAGATACATGGCTGCATTTGTATGTATGAATTGTGAAGTAATGTGGTTATACATTCTTACACGATTTGTACGTAGTTCTAAAATGTGCCTGAAAAATTTCCACTTTTGAACTTGCAATTTTCGCGTAGTGACTCGCATAAGTACGTGCTCGGTTTCATTTTCTCGAGAACTCGGGAAACTTGATTATTGTAGGCACTAGTTCGCGTAATTGCCGCGGATAATTATGCGAAACCGTTTCGCGAAGAATTACATTTCACGTGGTGAGGTTCAAGATTTTCGCATTCAAACCAAGTCGTCGTCACCTACTCGGAAAGGTAATCTTCTGGTTCGTTTCAAGTCATTCTCGACCTACGTACAACATTGCCTCCGTTTGCTAAGTTCCATTGTGTTTCCCGTTTCTCTCGTCAGGAAAATTACTAGAAAAAGGGTCACTTTACATAAGAAAGAGATTCTTAGTCTAGAGAACACAGTTGGTAGACCGCAAAGAGAATATCCAATTTTGAATTTTACACTTTTCTTTAAAACATGACAAAATCATGTTGGAAATTATTTTTATTATCGTTGCTGGTGACGACCAACTCGCGTGGTCATTTATCTCACATATATTTATTTATTTGAGAAAACGGATGGAATAACCGTATTGTCTACCCAATTATACAAATAAAAAGTACAAATTTTAGTGGCTCATTAACTATCAAAAGTGGAAAATAGATAAATAATAATAAGAAGAAGCACTTCTTTTTATTTTTGTGACTTGACAGGGGGTTAACGTTACCCATATTCCTTAAGCTATGAGAAAGGAAAGTACCAATAAAGAAGTGGAACACAAAATCTGAAACATTTTCGAATATTTTGAAGCATTCTTAAACATTGCCTAGCATTCTCGTGGACGACTTCTCTAATAAGAAAGGTTTACGTCTGTAGCTACTACCCCACCAGCATCCACCCATCCGGACACTATTAATATGAAACTTACAACCATAACCATTACTAGGTGCCAATGGGTAGTTTTAGAGGAAACTTTGCATTTACATATACGCACTTTTCATTTTTATAAATAAGCTGGCAGCAATTAGCAGAAGCAGGAGTATCAACTTTTATTTAAAAATCTCTTATGATAATTCTAATGGAGCATTCAAGAATTTTTGATGTCACATTTGGAAAAATTCTACTTTCTGTTTAATTTTAAATTAGTGGTGAAGTAAATATCGTTAAAATGCTTTATTATAGGAGATTTCTTTTTAGTAACTGCGAATTTCCTGCATTATGTACACATGAAGCTATTTTATTGGTTACCCATACGGTCAATTAATTTCTAACGTTGAATCGTATAAAAATTGGAGCACAGAACCCTCTGTTTCCTTGGGAGTGTTATTCAACCCTCCTGTATTGCAGAAACAGCCCCTAAATTATTCACTTATTAATTGTATTATGCGAGAGTTCCCCTTCATAAATTAAGTTATCGTGAATCGAGGACAAACAGGGAAACTACTTCCCGACCCATTAATTGATATTGTCGCTGATCGAGTTGTCTCCAGTCAATAAATAAACCAACAAATAACAATATTCTTGATGTAGTGGGTTACTTCAAAGTGTTAACATTACAGAATTACCTATTTCGTATTGTTTTGAATTTCATTCGCAATTAAAAATACCATTTACATTTAAACTATCTTTCTTGCTTGCCTCGTCTGATTAACAATTGAAGCATGTGATCGACTTTTTACCAATTTTCCGTTGCTTGAATCCTACT